TCTTCTATATATTTTAAAGATTTATAATTGTATATTTAATTTTCCAGATATAATATACGAAATCATAACTCTATAGAAAAGTCATCTACAAATTTTTTCCTTTAGAAATATAAGATAATATATAATCTTCTAAAGAAATTAATTATATATATATATATATCTAATTATANNATATATAAATTTATATATATATAATAAATATATTTTTTTATATTAATATATATTCATTGAATTTTATATATAAAAATCATTCTCTAATAAGATCTTTACGATCAATATTATATTTATAATTAATTTCTTTTAGATTAGAAATAAAAATTTCAATACATATCATATAATATAAAATCTTAATTTTGCCGAAATTATCGGAAATATCGATCAACAAATCCAAAAGAAATCATACATTTACGGTCTAGATTAATTTTCAGTTCAACGTATTTCTCACCATTCATTAATCCTTTAATTAAATGAAATAATTCAATTTCATCGTATCTATCAGAATCTATCATAAAATCGTATATAACGACCAACAAGTTAGAGAAAATATCAAGTCTTATATTCAACTAGTCGCCCTAATTCATATATTCCTAGCCATAACATCACAATATCTTCTCTCCTCGGCACGTCCTTACCCCCCGCCCCACATTTGCCTCGAAAGTGCTTTCGAACAATACTCCACGGTATTCTCGAGCCGATCCTCGGCCCCCCCGCTCCAAACGCCATCCACGATTCATAACCCTTATTTCATGACATTCCCTACCCATGCCTTCGCCCCCCCCTCCGATATTATTTATATCGATTCGTCTTCATATCTCACTCCACGATACTCCCCACGATGCAGCGACATACACCCACGAACATTCCACGATGTTTGCTTCGACTCGTGCTCCACCTCGCCCCCCCATTTTTCAACTTATACACTCTCCCGCGCCGCCACGCGACATTCCCCACGATAGACGATCTCATTATCCCGCCACTCCGCGACACTCCCCTCAAACTGGCACGACCCACTCCACGACCGCCATCACCCGCCACTCTGCGACACTCCCTACGACTCCCACGCCGTAGATCTTGGGAGGAGGGACACCTACATTTTTTCTAAACTTTCTCAAGCATGAATATAGAAATAGCTGTATTACTTTTCGCTTTCTACAACGTTATCTATCTGTATAAACCTTCAAACATTTTATGACAGAATTGCGGTTTAAATACTTATTTGTTTCTATATCAGTACATCTACTTATAGACATAGGTAGAAGTATATATATATATAGATATAGATATAGATATAGATATAGATATAGATATAGATATAGATGTAGATGTAGATGTAGAAATAAGTACATATACATCTCTATATTATATATATATACACACATTTGATATTATATACTTGTAATCGTATTTATACTGAGATACTTGTCTTCCTATCCGTGCTGTTATTTGTGATTTTGCTTTTACACGTATGTAAATTTGGCCTGTATACGTGCGTATTGTGTTCTATTAGTATATTCATGTACATATGCATATACATATACATATATATATATAATCAATATGTTCCGAATCATGTCTTAGCGGCTGCGCTCGAATTGAATTTCGAATGGTGCCGCTACACTTCACGCACTAAACAGCATCCAGCTACGAGTGCCATAAGCAAACCAAAGAGTGCAAGAGTCAATCCAGCAGCCAATGAAAATTGCCTCAAAAGCCGCGCACCAACTCTGATCATGGAATCAAAACGTTCCCAGCATCTAAGCGAGCTGCATCTGCCCGGCGCCCAGTGTTTGAGCAGTCGCCTCCTACAATCGAAAAGTCTTGATTCGTTGGTCAATCTTTCAACCGTTCTGGTTACGGTGGTCTAACAGTTGTGTGTCCAGAATGCTGGCCGACACCAGTGCGATAACTGCGAGAGCTGCGCAGGAGCAGAGCAAGACGACGTCGAGCAGCCTGGCACCCACAACTTCCCGACCCTTGTTGGTTCCCGTGCATCTTGTACATCCTATATCATCTTGTGCCCTTCCTCTTCGAGTATCTTTGACCAGCGAAGATGCCCAGTACAAGCTGACAGCCAAGAATAGACCTTGAGTGCCGCGAGACATTAGGTTGGCTCGATTTCTGCCATCCCCACGCAGGCAAGGCCACGACAGAGACACGATTCCCGTCGCGAATTCAACTTGAAGCACATAGACCTGGGACAGGAGCTGCCCTCGCTGAAAGTCATGTCATGCATTTGCCACGATCGGATCTTGCCTGCAAGGCCCCGAAGTATCCCGTGACGAGGACAAGCACAGCCGTCAGCGCCAGGAAACAGCCGGTAGAAAGAGCACTCTGTGCCCTGTCAATTGGACACATCTTTCTCTTGAGCTTTTTGCAATAAAAATTTGGAACCAAGCCTGTTTGCAAAGCATCCCGCTACACGATGCAGCTGCAAGACAGCAAAGTACAGCACCAGCACGGACAGCTCTGTCCAACTCCAACCTTGCATCAATCTGCTGAGCAGGTCCTAGAAGCTTTTTCAACATCTTCCCACCTGGGGGATAGTCGAACTTTGCGGCTTTCCCGATCTGTAACACCTGGTCCAAGTCCAGAAAATCGTTGCATCGTACTCGGTCATCCACCGTGCAGAAATTCAGTCCATGGCAAGAGTCAGAAACCCATATGCTTGTAGCCAGTAGTCACCGAGCTGCACAAACACCTGACCAAGACTACAAACGGCCGGTTTAGAGTTTAGATCAAGCTTTCGAGCGACAGCATCTCTCCATAGTTCTCCCCTGATTGTCTTTTTTAATTAAGTTGTGCAAGGGCTTACTGACCTTGTAGACCAAAGTTGGACAAAGCTGCCTCGAGAATGCTTGCATCATCTGTTCTTGAAACACCCAACTCCTTGATCACGAACCACCCTTGCGCACTGATCGAATTGTAATCCCTTAGATGCCCTAAAACCAGCCCATCCATGAAGCCCTTCGGGTGCTGAAGCCTTGCACTTCTTGACAATAGAGGAGAAGTCGTCCATCCCGACGAAATTCCGAAGCACAACGTTATGATTTCAGCTTTTTCGCTGAGCAGGGTTCCCATTTGTCCTACCAAGTGCGCCCATCCCTCTTGGGCATACACTCTCATCGAAATGCGGGAAGCAGGCGGGAAGGGTTAGGCCTAGGCTGGCAAGAGACTTGCGGGTCCAAACTTTGGTTCAGCTTCGGTTTACAATGCCGCTACAGTAGGATTCCGTGCAATGTGCAAGCCTGCAGGTGGAGCAGCCCACCAGGCGGGACTTCTTGTGCTGTGGCCTGTGAAGGAAGCAAAAACCCTGGACCACCAGAATCGGGGCTGGTGTCAAGATTACCGCGCCTCTGCAAAAGAGCTGGTGCGATTCAGCGCATCTGGCGCTTCTGCAGCTCCCTGGTCTCGAAGTATGCATGTATGGGGGCTTCAGCGAACATGCTTCTGCTCTCTGCCTCTGCTGGTGGCGCCGGCGCCTCGACGAACGGAATCGAGATTATGCATGGTGCCACCCAAACTCCAACATGCCGCTTGACTCTGGCACGACCTTTAGGGCTGCAACCGGAGGCACTGCGGCAGCGGAATCTCCCTCTGCCTGACCTTCAAGTCAACATCCTACTTGACTGGAACTATCCGGGTGCCAGCAGCCAAGCCTGCCAACTGCGGAGAAGCATCTTGCATATCTACCAACCGATGATGTGCATTGCGTTGTGACGTGGCTGCTGGACAATACACTACGTAGTCCTGAATGCATGTGTTCGTCATTTTTTGTCTGTCTTACCCTGCTTTCGGACATACTCAATTTCGATGTCAGCACAGCAGGGGATGAGATGTAACACCTTGTGCACTGGTGCGACATACACCGCTCGCTACCATGAACTACGGCTCAGCCTAAAACGAATGGTCCAGAAAGCTTGTGACGTTGAAACACGGGGTGACCGACAGTCTAGGACTGCAGCAGTCACACAGGACCGCAAAGCATGCACGTTCAAAAGGGACCCTAGAAGCACCAAACCGGCTTCAAGACCCAAAACCCCTGAAACCCTAAAACTTAGAACAGGCCCCAACACCCCTGTAAGCGCTCACATGTGTAAGCCCAACATTAAAACAGACATCACCCGTTTGAGTAGGGAAAATAAGTCACACTTGGAAAACAATTGGAAATAGCAGCTCAAAGCACGCCAGCACATCTCCGACACACAACTCAACACCCCGCAACACCTCCCAGACACGAAGCATCCGACCTGCAAAACTTCTAGAACCCTTGTAAGCCTTGAAAACCTCCTATAAAACCTTATATTTCTGATTGCATCTTATGAGGGACCATAAAGACTCGATTCTAAGCCCGTCGTCATGACCAAGTTTGAGGCGAAAGGACATCCAGCGCGTCCGCAATGTGGGAATATTGCTCTTGCACACTGTTGCACTGTAGATTGAATCTTTCACTTATGCACAATGCCGACTCTTAAGTATTCAATCACGTGTCTGAATGTTTGGGTGGCTGAATTAGTAAGATAGTCTTGGTGTTCCTGAGCTATTGAAACCTTCCGCTTTACCTCAGCAATCATACTTCACCCCGCCTTTACAAACCGTCGTGTTCATCTCTTGAACTGATGCCGGATATCGTCCTATTAGAACGGCGTCTTGACAGTCTGAATTACAACTCAAACGGTTATTCGGACTGGCAGTAGGTGCAAGTTGGCTCAGCTGTATGGTCTCAATCAAATTATAGTTGAGATCTTCGGGAATCAGTGCGGGTACCGGAACTTGGGCAACAGTGGCCAGCAATTGCAGTGCCTTCCAAGCCAGGTGCCTGTGACTGTATGTATCGATACTACGGCCTGTGAGACCGTCGTTCTTGTGCTCGGCGCACTTTCCGATCAATTCTAGCAGCCTCTTCGAAATTTCCTGCTGACCAGCAAAAGCTGCGATGCATACTCAAGTAACATCTTCGTTTTGATTCCTGACAAGTGCCGATAAATGCTGGCTGCGGACGGCGTGGATCTGAGATGCCGTGCTCATCACGACACGAATTCACGTGTTCCCCTGATCCTTCTGGGGAACACTGAGCTAGCCCCCAGTTGTGTTTTTTTCAAGATTCCGGCTTGCTCGGCAATGGCCATTGCCATCTTCAAGGGCAAGCCGGTGGTTCTGTCCCACAGGCTTGTCTGGGGCTGCACTTTTGATAGTTGCCGGCGTTCTCGGCTTTGCGATTCCAGCTTGTCTATTCCTGTATGCTTTTTGCTGTGATCGGAGACTTGGCTCCGCTGCCACGGCTGGGATCAAGTGACGATCGTCCAAGTGGACAAAGATTCCCCTCGAGTCTGGTGGGGAAGGGTCCAGTCACGATAGTAAGAGCTTGTGATGTCCGCTTTTTTTGCGAGCCTGCTAAACCATCTTTCTCGGGACTCTGTCTGCATTTATTTCTGGAGACCATGTGTTTCCAGGCCAGCAATGATGAATCTGCTGCGAACATAGACATAGACCATCCTGCAACAACAAACTCGTTGCACGCTTTCTGTCAAGTTGTCAGCTTGTTGACCTAGATGACATGCGGTATGAGCATTCGTGTTAACAGTTCAGCGGCAATGTCTTGGGCTGCGTCTGTCTGGAACATCTGCTCGTGAGATTCAGCCTCGGGCTTCTCCTCATCGGTAAGTTTGAAGTGTCGGGGTAGTGGCTCAGGAGTTCGTCCGGAAGCTTCGTGTTATGTGCGCCGTCACTTGGGCGATCAAACGGGGGGCGGGGGACGAACACGCTCAACGCTCGAACCTGGATGCTACTCGTTCCCCAGTCCAGGCAAGTATAGCTCAAGTAGGAAATACCTGTAATCCCAAACCCAAAACCTTGAACCTGAAAAGTCTAAACTATGAACCGCGAAAGAACTAGAGTTCCAAAATCCTTGATACGGATAAGATTGCCTTTTTTGCATGACTCATGGCAGCTTTGCGGCACTGTCACCAGAAGAAACCATAAAGCAAGGACGACGACGCTGCAGCTGCGGTCAGTTCCCAATTGGAAATCGCTGTGCAGTAACAAGATCTTTCACAATGGGATTCTGCGTGTGCCAGACGGACTATGACGGACTGGTGACTAGCTGGTGCCCAGATAAGCCCGAGTGATCTCGCTCGCATGGACGTCGCTGCAAATCTGCTCCAAGCGCCAAGGTGCCTCAAACGACGCGTGGGACGGGGATCAGAGAAGCTGAGTGTGCTTTGTGCCTCGTAAAGTCGGAGTATCCAAAAACTGATGCCGCGGTCTCCGGTTGCCGGATGCTCACAACATTCCTCTCGTTCTTCCTCATTGCTGCTGCTGCCGTGATTGCACATCTGATTGCGCATGTTCTTTCCGTATGCTGCTGTGCAGCTCTGGTGCACCCAGTCTTGTCCTCAATACTTTCCCGGCCTTTACTGAAAAACGTTTCTTCTTACGGCGGCTGTTTCGCTTGTCGCGATTATTGCAATCTTGATTTTCACCAGTCGACGACGATACTCCCAAATTTGAGTCACGAGAGACTTAGTTCCCCCTTTTGCTTTGGATTGCATCCTGCAAGGGTCGATTTGGGACGGTAAACTGGAACCGGGAACCTGTCGGTTTCAAAAGGTGAGGGCTTTGGGAAGAGTATCTTGGCACCGATTCGTCTGCGAGCCTCGAGCATCCCTATTCTTTTTCGCGCCACCGCAGGGAATGCTTCTGAATGCTCGGCTGGGGTCCAAGCCACGTCTCACCGAGCCGTCGTGCTTCATTGGGGCCTTGATAACTCTGGCCACAGCCTTGAGTGACACTGAAAAATCGAAGTGTCGGACCGTCAGACTGAGGCAATCTGCAGCAGGCTCACAGCCCTTCTCTCTGACCCAAAGCAGGTCATGCCATGAGTGGGCAGCCCGATGCTTCGTGCTTTCGTGTGGTACCTGTTGAAGCTCGCTGCTTCTGTTTCACTCGTCGCAGCATGCACTCGGCCAGTCAGGCTTGCTGTGAGCATGAGCACAACGGTGGTGAAGGTGGGGCAAGTGGTTCTGCTGCGTCGTCTCAGAGAAGAAGCGCGAAGTCTTCAGGCTTGCGCTGCAGCACCACTTCCACTCAAAAATCATCTTGACAGATCAAGGCTTTGCTGCGAGTCTGTAGGCATTCCATCGCACCGCCCATCCTGCATCAGCAATTTCGTTTCTGTGTCTCCAGAAAGTGTTCTGCAGCTCGGGGAGGGGCAGTACTTCCGCCCAGTCTCTGGGAGAACCCGGGGCCCGCAGCCCAGGGTCTGCCCTTAGCGCAATCAAAAGGAGTGCCATTTCCGCATGGCCTTCCATGGTCGCCCGGAGCAGCGGTGTGTCGCCCTCCATAGACTCTCGACACAGTATATCAGAAGGGGATTCGGCATGCTGGACCATCCACTCCACGGCAGAAACGGCGTTTGTCATGGCAGCGGCATGCCATAACGTCAACCCTTTGTCATCCGCCGTGTAGTCGAAAAACTGCTGAACCAAGCAAGGTTTGCCAGGAAAAAGACTTGCAAGCACAGGTTCATTGCGAGATGAACACACGGCTTGAAAGTAGGCACTTGTGCCTTCAATATCGCGCTTCGCAGGATCACATCGTCGAGAACAAAGCCAAGAACAAACCGCGGCATGACCACCTGGCCATCAGTGAAATCACAGCCAACTCAAAGTCAAGCCTAGGTCAGAACTTGCTGGCCCAAAAACACAGCCCAGTCTTGGGCATTCCTTTCGAACCCCAACCTCGTAAATGGGAAGCCTCGAAAACACTGCCACTCTCGCAGAACCTACACCAGCCTATCCTTCGACACTCTCTCAAGGGCCCCAAGAGGAGCGACCCGACGCTTTCAGTAGCGCCTCCAGCAGCATACCAAAGAGGCGTTCTGCCTCACGGATCACAAGAGTTCCACGAAAACTCAAAGGAATCAGCCTTATGAGTGCTGTGGCCGAGGGCTAGACCTAGCTCGTCAGCGCTGTCAAGATGATCCAACGCGCATTGGCCGAGGCCCTCTGCTATCATCACCAGCAACTGCTCATCCCCTTGCAAGGCAGCGTAGTGGAGCGCACTGCGGCCACTTCTATCGCATTTCGTGACGTTCTTGCCGTTTTGCATTGCAAGCTCCATAAGAGATCCATTGGATGTTAGTGCAGCCTCCAAAGTCAAATTCCACTGGGTTCGCGGACAGACCACATCTTCAAACTTCAGCTTTTCTTTCTGAAGAAGGTCCTTTACCAGCCAAGTGCAGCCTGTAGCAGCGGCTCGCAGACAGCGCTCCCACGGCTTCTTGGATTTCCAGGCCTCAAAGGATTCAATTTCAACTCCGTCACGCCAAAGAATCCTGCAGACGTCTTCAACATTCTGGCCATTCTGGCCATTCTGTCCATGGCCATGATCTAACCTGACAAGGGCTCGGTCGAGGGAGTTTTCCAGATTTGCCCTGGCTTCGACCAGAATTCTGCAAAGATTTGCATCACCACTCTCGATTGCGGTCTCCAGTGCACTGAACCCATTTGGTCCCACCGACTCTATAAGTTCTTCTTGGAGATCTCGGACAAGCGAGACCAGCTCGGGCTCAGGCTCAGGAACGTCGGGATGAGACTTACGTGCTCTCTGTGCGCTCTTGCTCCGACTCAAGAGAGTCTCGCAATCACTGTGGCAGCCAAAGTTGATTGAACCCCACCAACACCCATACACCAGCCGTCTGACTGAGTCTATTTGAAGTTCCAACAGGTTCTCCAGCCACTTTGCACGCTCCGTACTTCCTGCAGCATATGCCTGAAGCGTTGCAGGAAACGAGCGGCAGACGCCATCGTACAGCCCAAGATCTGCAGGCATGTGCTGCAGTTCTACACCCTCACAGATCACATCAACATCTACATCCAGCGTGTCCCTGGCCGCGCGAATGAGCTCTCCCACGGTTGATGCCACAACCTGCCAGTTCAAGCATGTCTTGCTGACTCGCTCAGCGCACCCGACCTCCTTCTCCAGCATGCGGCTCCCGCTCCACAGAAACATCGAAACTTTCGCCTGCCAGTCGTCAAGCCGAAGTGGACGCCAATAAGGGTCGGCAATGACCAGCTGAGCTACACGAACCGGGCTTCCACGGCTTGCACTCGTCGCACCTGCAAGCGAAAGGATATCAAAAGCCCGAACCGTCGCAGAACTTGGAAACTTAAAGGCCTTGGTGGCACTGGATCGCGACAAGTGCCTTGCGTGCAGCCTGTCAGCCCGACCGAGAAACTCGACTCTCTCCACAGCCTGGCCTGAACTCTTCGAAGGCTGGCCGCACGATGTCCGGGCCTCCAGCGGCTTCAGCGTGACACCAGCTTAGCCAGCTCAAGACGCTGAGGCGAAGACCCAGCTGCAGTCTGGTCTTGAAGCTCGGGTTCTCGTGGCTGCGGCACCACGGGAACGCTCACTTCCGGCCTTGGCGCAGAGCCGCAGCGCGCCCGCGCCCTTTGCACTCAAACAGCTCTTCCAACCGAGGCTTCAGCGGAGGCTTGGCTGAGCTGGAGCCGCTGCCCATTGGACATGAGCTCAGTGCCGGACAGCCGCTACTACTGCTGCGGTGTTGAGAGCCACGAGCCGACTCTGCGGGGAGAGGGGCGCTTTGTTGACGCTGAAGGAACTTCGCAGCCGACAAGAAGCACATGGTCAGGGGAGACACATGTTCGAGTGCAGCGTAGATTGCACCTCTCCACTTTAGCCCATGCCGTTTTCAGGCGTTGTGCGCGAATCTGAACTTGCAAGCGATCCAACCCAGTCTCGACACCTAGGCTCTCCGCTTGCACAAGCCTGTGAGTCACAAAATCTTCGGTTATCCGAGCGACCACCGCTCGAAGAGCCTGCGGTGCCCGAGTTTCCTGGAATCGACACACTGACCACTCCAGCACGGTTCCCCTCCCCCTGCACATCCGGCTCAAAGTCCTCACACCCAGGTCGACGAACAAGCTGTTCAGAAGTCTTCCGTTCCTTTGCGTAGCTCGGCTCCGACCAAGAAACGCTTGTGGAGCACATCAAGGCCTGATGTACTTCCCTGCAACCTTGGGGTCGCAAAATCAACTGCCTGAGAATCACCCAAGCAATTTGATGGAGAAGAAACTTGCCTCAGCGGGGGTCTGGTATTGGCGAAGGCGAGCATGATATTCCATCAAGAACCTGCCGTGGACTCCAACCGCTCTGACAACACCAGTCTCTAAGTCTGAGAATGTCTGAGACGTCTGCCCGTACGAGTCCATGCTCAAAAGCCAGCGGCTCAAAGCGTCCGCCTCACACAAAGCTCACTGCACGCTGCCCGTTCAGAAGAGCCCCAGCCTTCATTGGCAAGGAACAGCTCGAGGGAATCCTTGAGACAGGTACCCAATTCCGGCATCTCGGGGGTGCTAGGCCGACGCATGCCGCTAGGCCGCTAGGCTCCCCACATCTCACTCTCGTGCTCGACACGGCGCGGCTCCAGGTTCTGCGAGCAACGGTTGAAGAAAGCCGGATGTTTGGTTGCTCCCCACCTTGACGCGAAGGGCAGCACGCCTGACCCTGCCACGACAAGATGCTGGAAAGCGTCGCAGATCAGAGCTTGTGACACAATTCGCGCCAGGCGAGCTGCAGATTGCGAGGATGGAATTTCATTGCCTTCACAGCTTAAGACGGCCCATGTTGCACGCAAGCTGTTGCCAAGGCTGTCCTCGTGGGCCGCATGATGAAATCCATCTCTCGGAACCACCCCTGCGACTCCAGATGCGCATGTGGCAGACCCACCAAACCCACCAAAACAAACCAGGCTGAGCATGAGGCCTTTAAGACCAAGCCTTGGGTCACACAACAGTCGTTCAGGCAATGCATCGATCACGGGTTCTGCCGAACAGACTGCACTTTGATGCGCTCAGACATTTCTGCAATCAGCTGGCGTGCAACCTGGAGCTGGATCCCTCACCAGCTTTCTTCCACAAAAGCAGAGTCGTTGACTAGCACACTTCCACCACACAGCTGGCAAACCAGGGCAGCTACTTCTCAAGCGCGAGAAGGGCATTGACTTGCACGAAGGAGTTGCGGCGATGGTCCTGAAGGAGATGATCGAATACGGCTGGCTGGCACTGCTGAGAAACTACCTCCTCTCGACATCGCGGTGCCTTCATTGCAGTGAGCACCCTCCGCAATCCGTCGGTCTGCGACGCCGGTAGCAGGATGGAAAGCAGCAAGATACAGACAACAGCCAGCCAAACCTCGCCTCTACCACCCTTTCTGCGCCATGCGAGTGTCGCTCGGCCAGCCTGCATTGCACGACAGGAAGGATTTAAGAAAGCATGACAGTCAGGTAAACTAGCTGCCCAAGCAGCTAGAGGCATGCAGGGGCTGCCACCTCCAGACAGCCACGCATGCGTTGTCCTGCACTGTTCCGTCTTCTCCTGGCTGCGAGGCTGCGGCAAAATCCACAACATGCATCAAAACAGGTGATCTAAGGCGAGTGCTGTGCAGATCCATTAGCTTGACCAATTCCTGTGCAAGCCCAGGTTTTGAATCCAAAGCTCTGTCTTGTTGAGCAGCATCTCTGCTATTCGCCGCAAGTAGCTGAGCTGGAAAGCCTCGACAAATCCGGCTGTCACCATGAATTCCGTGTTATTGTCGTTTCTCCTTGGTCTGCACATCGAACTGCCCTGAACGGATGCCGCTCGTAATCGCCAAGATGCTGGCAGAAACCGGCAATTACGCCAAGCCCCAGCCCTCAGAGGAGAGGCGAGCGAGGTGAGGTGAATCCCCTCAGAGCGAGGCCGCGACTGGCAACCTCCAGGTTTTGAGTCCCAAAACGCCGCAGGGCTTGCAATGCACGTACCTTACCACGTGGTCTCTTGCCGAGTTTTGCAGAGCTGAGCCGGCCTCGAGAAGTGGGTCCAGCAATTTCTGCACGTGAACGAAGTCCCTGCCTCAAAGGATGCAGACGACGAACCTGCGCAGGCTCTTCAACGCCGAGGTCGCAGCGCAGCCACTCACGGAGCTTTTCAAAAACTTCGACCTAAGAATGCAGGGGCAGAGGCAGAGAGAAAAGAAAGCTCAAGATCGAGGAGGGCTCGAGGCCCGAGCAACGAGCCAGGGATCATCCGAATCTGCGCTGCAACGCGCAAAAAAGGCACAAAGCGCAGAAGGCCCTGTGTGTTGTGCTTTTTGTTGAGAGCCCGACCTTCCAGAAGTTTGGAGCACTGGCACAGGGCCTGCATTAGTTGATCTGCGAAGGTCTCATCACATCTGCAGGGCATGCTTCGGTTCTCTGATGCACCTTCCTCCATCGGCATGTGTCCCTTCATTCTCCAAATGGAAGTGCTTGCTTTGCTGATTACTCCAACATAATCCAACCATCTCGCCACACCCGACCCCTGCCATTTATGTTCTTGCCCCCCTTCGGGAAGTGGGCGGCGGTGTTTCGACTTCGACGTCGGCCTACCATTCGTAACGGGCTTATCCCGTTTCGGATGGGCGCTGCCAAGCGAGTCTGCTGCTGTTCAGAGCCACTATCTAACTATCGAGCCGACATGTCACTACCGGTCACCAGCACTGAGTTGGCGGCCTCGCATGTTGCGTCTCGAAGATCCATCACCTCTCCAGGAAACCCAGGTCCGAAGCCAACCGGGAGAGTGGGCCTGGCCTGGTAAGGAAGCGTGGACATCGTGCGCCATCTTCGCCTATTACCCTTTGCCTGCTACTCGACTGCAATGCTGAAAGGTGCTGCAGGCGTACATCGGACAGATAGCTCTTTAGCAAGCTCTGCATGGAGGCCAAGCGGAACTTACCGAGCCTTGCCGTAAACTTGCCCGCTGACGGTTTTCGGCGGTTTCGCAGCATCGGAAATCAGCGGCTATCTGTCTTAGCAGCTCCACTGGAAAGCACTGCGCGCACTCCAAAAAATGCTTTGCAAAGCAAAGACAGAAGGAATGCTGCGTTGTCTCCTAAGGCCCCGATGAAACAAATGCACATTGCACATACCTCCAGGTGGCATCTTCGATGCGGAGTGTAAGCAAGCAAACCTGTCGAACCAGGATGTAGAGTGGTTGCACTGCTTTGCAGTGGCTTTGGTGCGTTGCTCCAAATATCCCACAGCTACATCCTGTCAACAAAATACACTCTGCCGGTAAAGCACAACAAGTTGTCCTTTGCTGTTGAAGGGTATCAAAGCAGAGAGAGAGAGACAGAGAGAGACTCCGTGTGCAAAAACTCAAAGCTTGCAGTGTGTAAGGCACTGGCAGCTGTTCCCACACCAGCACGGACTGCAGCTGAACAGCCCCCTAGGCTTGATAGCTGCTGGATCTTGGACGATGATGTCCTGCTGATCTGTCGCACTCTGGACTTCGAAAACTGGAACCGATGTAAATCACGGCTGTTAGCAAGACTGCGGGGGTTCAAGCCTCCTCCTCCTCCTCTTCGTCGTCGTCCTCCTCCTCCACAGCAAATCACAGGAAAGCTGGGGGCCAAAGCTCTACTCTTGAGTCATCCCAGCCTCATCCGGCAAGGCTCCGGGGGCTGTAAGCATGTCGGGGTTGGCCCCGTCGTTGCTAGCCTCAGGCGCTCAGCTGCAAATGAAAACACACAGATGCCAGCATCTGGGCCAAGGCACCTTCATGTCTGAGTTGGTAATTCCGCTGGGGCTTTCTGCCGCTGCACCTCAGCTGTGTGGGTGCAGCTCTGCCCGGCATAGCGTGACACAGCATGGCAAGTCAAGATCACTGCGCTTGGCTTCCTCTTCGGCTTGCTTGGCGGCCTTGCACTGTCAGTCAGTCGTTCGGGGCCAGCACTACGAATAAGACTGCCTCGTGCTGCTTCTGACAGTCGGGTGGCACCGGGATGTCATTCTGGACGAAGAAGTCGTATGCCTTGCAAAAGGGAACAATGAACGTCACCACGTGGCCACGCATTTGGGTTGAACGCTGACTGGCAGGCCTCTGGAGCATACTCCAAAGCAGCATTTTCCTGCGAAAGTCTCTACACAGCTCACCTCCCTAACTTCAGGCAACACTGTTCCGTCGCAATTCCCAAGACCTCTTTGGTCTTCGTGGGATCCCATATTCGGCCCCGTGCACCCATTGCCGTCAGCAACTGCCAGAGCAAGGGCTCCACGCTCAGAAAACCCGACCAGACATGTTCAAAGTCGCTCCAAGACAAGGAGGCCAAAGCGTGCTTCGAGCCTTGTGAGTGCCCTCAAGCGGCTTGGCGGTACAACCTCAGGCGAGGTCCCTTATCGCTTGGCAAAAGTCTTGGAGTGCTGGAGTCCCGTCTCAGGCACAAGGATCGTCTTTGGTCTTCGAGCACTTCCCTTTGAGTTGTGTATGGATGATTTATGGATGTGTTCAGATGGTGGGAACCAGTCCTGCAACGAGCTCCACTGTCGAAAAATAAGCTGAATCGTCATAGCGGCTGGCAACAAAAGATGCAGCACTGCAGACACGTGGCTTTCAGTTGAGCCCTTGTCGAACGGTGGACCCTGCAGACACACGTGGTGGCTAAGAAGTGAACAGGACGCAAAATGCAGATCTGCATCAGCCTGAAGTGGGAATGGGAAGAAGGTCTTGATAAGCGGTCTCGTGCCACCTGACTCTGCAACACTGGTATTGCAGCTCGCTTGCTGGTGCGGCTGAGGCATTTGCCCAAGTCCTCTTCCAGCTGATGACTTGCAAAATCCTGAATCCCGGAACCAAGAAAAGCCGAAACGCTCCACACTTTGCAAACACGAGCACAAGGGCGCCTTCTTCAAATCATCTAGGTTGTCCAGCAGCTGCAGCTTTTGCCTCGAGCGGGTGTCGTCCCCCTAACTGACGTGCCTCAAAACGTTCTGAGCAAAGTCTGCATAGCAAGTCACGGAATTGCATCAGAGACGGACTTGCTTAGAGGCTCCGCGCTTCAGCCTTCCTTACTGAGAACTTCGGGGTCCAGGTGCCAGCTTTGAATGCCGCACCCTAGAGCCCTTTTCAATCCCGGTGGAAAACCTGGAGATACTGCAGAACAAAGGCAAGGGGAAGAAGGCATGCAGAACGAAGAATGCTTGGTGCTTGTGGGTGTCTGTGCGTTCATGATGCGCCCCCTGCTCCGATTTCGTCGACCGATCTATTGCAATGGGAAGCAGGTGCCGCGATGCTGCTCTCGAGACTCTTACCGCCGTGGGATCGCCCAGGATGGGACTAGCGTAGCCCAAGGCAGCCACTTCTGCCGATCGGTCAGCAGGCCTTTGACCTGTCACGAGATTCGCTGCTTATCTGTGTACACTTGCCACTGGGCTTTTCAGGGCGCTTGTAGAGCAGGGTCATGGCCGTCAAGCGAGCCCACACAGCTCTGTGCTGAGAATGCGAATTCCGCAAACTTGCCAGCACGGCCCAGCCAGCAATTGTGCTCAAGCCGCTGGACATGTTGACAACGTAAAACCTTTCACAGAAGGGCGCTTCCCCGCCTTTCCGCTCCTGCCCAGGTCTGCCGAGCCTAAAGACCCGACCAATGTAGTGATGACTCATGACCTGGCAATCACACCGAAATTTGAGAGGCTCGAAGGGACAAAGATGTCGGGGGTGCCGAGTAAATCTTGGACAAGGCCGATATCGGAACTCCGGAGATCCCGAGACCTCGGCTGTGCTTTGAAAGTTATTAGTCTCAGCTTCGAACGTACTCTCTTTTGGGGGCACTGCCCTTGAGATCGACCACCAGGCAATTGTTCTCGATTTTGCCGGGCCTGATGAAGTTTCGGCCACATGCAAGGATCTTAAGTGCTGTCATGAATCACGTTCAAGCGTGCATTAGAGCTTGTGCAACCCCTCGTTTCGAGTTTTCATCCATCAGTCTGAGTCAACAAAGAACCACCTTGCACTACACAAGCTTGCAAGCACAGGCAGATCCTACCCCACCGCAGGCCCCTGTTTCGCTTCACTCTCTGAAAGCTGGCTTCCCGAGCTGTGTAGAGGTGCTGTCAGAGTTTCATGCAGAGTTTGCACTGAGCACGGGCTGGACAGGCTCCAGTCGTGCGCCTGGTTCCTTTGCGATTCAAGACCAATAGCTGCGCAACTCACGCCTTTCTGGGTCTCTAGGGTATTTTCATGGGAGTTTTTGCAGCCTTCCACCCCCCCTTCCCTTAGCGTCACGTCCAAGCCCACTCAATGTTTTTTCTTCGATTTCGGGCCTCTGCTCCACACCGATCTGGGAAAGCTCACAAAAAAAGAACAAGCAGAATGCCGGCATGTCAAAGCTGACGCGAGGAAGGTTCAGGGATTTCAAACCACCCAAAGTATGGTTGCGGACTGGACTTACGAGGGGCTGGCAGCCGATTGGGTGGCAAAGCACGGTTACGCTGAAACAACAGAATCTGGATCGACAAGACAAGCAACCAAACTGCGATGCCTTAACTAGACCAGTCATGGAGACGACGCTTTTGTGCGGCCACAGAAAATGTCACCTCTTGAGGGAAACTGTCAATGTTTCAGGCATTGTCTCTGTTGATGGTAGCGCGTCACAAACACCCGGAACCAAAAGAATGGCAAGCAGTGTCGAGAAACCTTCCAAAGCGAATGTGGGACGCTGCGCAAGGATGCACATGGCTCTTAGTTCAGCCCTGGTTCTGTGTGACAGGGTGCCAGTCTTCGGCATCACAGACTCAGACTCGTAGCATGTACAGTAGGCGCCCAGCACAACCATATATCTGACCATGTACTCCATAGAGAAAATCAATACTCTGATCAGCCGCTCAATGCCAGCAGCCTTGTCCTGTGCAGGAGAGCCACAGCAGCAGGTGGCTTCGGTGACGAGATGATGAGACCACGGGTGTGCGGTCCTTGTACCACTCGTCTGGTATTCGATTTGCTCGGCACACAATTGTGGGCCTGTCACGAGATACCCACAACCCGCAACGAACCGCTGAGAAAATGCAGCTCTTGACAGCTTCGAGACCTCATGCCATAATCTCGGCCACAAAAGTAAACTACGCCGTACCTTGGTGAGAGCCAATGCACTTCCGCATGAGGCAGTCTGCCCCTACATGTACATCCCGAGGATGCATGGTTGAGGACAAAACTTGAGATCATCGATCACTTGGTGATCGGCAACCGGCCCGTCCTGGAATGCCGTAATGCCGTAATGACACTGTCGACATCCCACATGTGCACCAGCAGGCCTTGAAGTATTCTGCCTTCCACTCCTGTGTGGCCAACATGAGCTTGATGGCCTGAGAATTCCGCGGAACTAGCAAGTGGCATGATTTCCTTGCTTCTACACGCTGTGGCCTTGTGAGGGTCGCCTCGAGCTCTGCTCAAAAAGCGCCCTGCCATAATTGCCTGGCAGAAGTGGCAATTCACCGCCCTGATGGCTACACGTCTACAAGCCGGAGAGGCGATGGAAGGGAAAAACTCAAGGCCCTGAGCCTTTGCTGTTTCCTGTCAGCATCGAAACTCACATACATGCGGCCGGGCAGGGCTCCGTGCAATCGATCCTGCAGAGCTTTGACGCTTGCTTTCTCCTGCCAGCGTGGTGCACAGTTCAAGCTGATTCATTGACGCTCCGGTGGTCCGATTCTGGGGAGAGACAAGAAAAGCAGACACCCCCAAGCATGGCGAGTCGCCAGAAGATGACACATCAGCAAAGACCAGAGTCAGATTCTAGTACAGCTGCTCCTCCTCTGAGAGCTCTATGTTGCAGTAGATTTTGCGCTCTGTATCGCCGTTTTTAAAATGGCCTCGAGAGAGAGAGAGAGCAACAATCAGATTTGGGCAGCAATATGTAAAGACCGAGGCTACCACTCACGACCATGTCCGGCTCGGGTTCAAAAGTGAAGGCCTCGAACGCAGGAAAACCGCAGCAAAGCGAAGGGAACAGAGTTCTTGAAAGACTTCCTTCTTCTTTTGTGGACGAGGGCCTCCACTGGAAGGGTGAATTGTGCAATATTCTCCTCCTGGCCAGGGCTGCAGCAATTCCCGTCATGACCGAATCGCCTCCCCTGTGTGTCATTTTCCAGCAACCACGCCAGGCAGCCTTGATGGAGAGATATGCAGGCTCCTCCACGGTCCTTCGAGACTAAACATTTGTGGGTAGGGAAAGACTGGGACAGACTGCTTCGTCAGATGGTACTTGCTGCAAGTTGCCAGCCTGAAGCCGTCCATGACTGGACCCTGACATAACGGCAGTGAAATCGCAGCGTGTCCCATCCCTCAACAAGCGGCTCAGGCCTTCTTCAAGCCTCCTTGCAGCCGGCAGATGCGAATCGCACCATGTTCAAAAAGGACTCGCAGCATTACGAGATAAGCTCCTGTAGCATTCTTGCTCGCCTTGGACTTCTTCGGCATTTCTAGACCTCAGCTGCCATCAGCTTGCAAATGTTTGCAATGCTGCCTCCTCTGGCCAGGCTGGGGCCCTGACGGCGAGCTTAGGAGCCCTCAATAGACGGGAAGAGCGAGACATCACTTCGCGATCTAAGGCTTACACGGGTTCCCAGCCTCGCTGCTTGCCTTGGTGCCTTCGGCAGCGGCCACTTCGAGGGGCCTTTTCGAACTCGGACCGCGGAGCCAGCTGAAAGACGGCGACAAGATGTGTTAAATGTTCGTCTCTTATGTAGCAACGTAGTTTCCCTTGCAACTTGCATTCTGCATCAGCAATGGCCTAGCTGCGATGAGCATTGGAAAAGTTGAATGATATCAATGCATCATGGCTGTGGCAAGTGGCTCAAGACATAGGACATAGCTGCAAGAGTGTGCTTGGGCATACCGCAGTAAGTTGGCCTGACTCGCCACGCCTGGGCATTGGAATCCGCCTCTATCCGCCGACCCCTGCCTAAGTTACCCTCCGTTAAACCCGTGTTCGCCGCATCGCCACCCCCCCTCTGCAGGAAACAGGACTCGACAAGGAAGGCCTGGAGACAGGGGGCTTGCCGGGAACTTTCATGCTCCCACCCACTTGCAAAAATATCGCGGAGAAAGTGTTCATCGTTCTGACCTCGACACACACACACACGAATGTACAGCACAACGATGGCTCGGATGCGCCAACATGCTCATGTAGGGAATGTTTCATGCAACGAAGAATTGACTATACCTCAAGCTGCTTCGAGGCCCAGCTCACCTGATCGCTATCTTTTTGTTCTCGTGCTGCTGACTTCATGGATCTTTGCGCATGAGAGTGATGCTTGCTGGACATAGGAGGCAAGCAGGAGGAGGCATCACCCACTGGATGGAGCAGCTCTGAAGGGTTCTAGAACTAGAGGGCGGGCGCAATTGTTGCGGCCCGAAATTCATGCGGCATCATGCGGCATGCGCAGCAGACTTGGCGTCACGAACACCGCGGGGGCGAGGAGAAACGCCGTCAGTCGAGAGCCAAGTCAAGAGAGGCCTCGGTCGAAGATTCCCAGCAGCTGTAGCACTCTCAGGCTTTATAGGCTTTGTCTGCAGCACTTCTCTTCTTTGCCTTTAGCCCTTTCTTTCTCAGCTGCGTCCTGTGGCGTTGGCACTTATGTGCCATCTCGATTCCTCTTTCCTTTGAGGCCGCTCTCCAGAAAAAGCAGCCCATGTGAGCCAGTGTCCCTTGCAGTCAGCCACTTCTCAGCTTCTTAGCCACATCTCGGCACAGAAGGATATAACAAGGCCAGAGAAACTCAACAAAAAGAACGGCACACTACGACCGCCGGATCGTGATTGCACTGCCAGGCTCCCAGTTGCCTACTCCTGAAACATCTCAGCCAAAGCTTTAGATTACGCCCTTGCAAGCTTGACGTGGTGAGGTGCGTTCCAAGTACCAGCGTTGTTATCTGCGTCTGCGTACTATCCGTCTTTACAAACACTCAAGCCGACAGGCAGACAAACGAACAGCGCCCGGTTACGATGTCCACGGCGTTTTGAACTAGACAGGCTAGGGACTGCCCTGACAAAATAGGCACATGAGATCACTGCTGGCTCAAGGGTGCGCCGATATAGCATGATACCGGGACTGTCTAGCCCGGCTACTGATTTTGAGCGGTCTGTAACCCTGCGAGTGCTCTCCCAACCCCACATTCGTAGATCTGAGATCCACGCAGACCAAGCAGCACTTCTATGAAGAGCTGGGTCTGCACAAAGGTGTGGACCTGTGTCTATGCCGAACAATGAATGCACATCCTCCAAAAACTGAATTTATCCGGCCTCTTTTTGCACCTCGAGGAAAGCCTGCCGTTTGTCAAAAACGCAATCAGGCAAAGCAGCATGTCCCGAAAATCCATACCGCTACAAATCCGAGTGAACAGATGTCTGCCACCTCAATGACTCTCAGGTACAGCTGCAGGTAAAGGTGGACCTGGCGAAAGCACCACGGGAAATGCCCATTCCAGTGCAGACGATGCCCACCTCCTCCACGGCCTTTCTCCAGTATGCAGAAACATGCACGCGCAGATGCTTCGGCAGCCTTCGTTGTGCAATTGTCCATGCGTTGTGTGTCCCTTCTGTGCTTTCTATTGCTGCAACGTGCCTGAGGAGATGCCCCTGCAAGTATGCAAGGTTGTCCTGCGTCCGCATGAGCCCTTCCTCAGTTGTTAGTTGCCGAATCTCAGTGAAGTCGAGACAGCCTTCCACATATACACCCCACAGCCCAGAGTTCACTGAGCAAATCGCTTTTCGAAAGCTCGCAAACTCGTCATCGTTGGCTGCCTGCTGACAGCTTTAATACCAAGGAGTCGCGCAAGCATTGCTATTTGTGCCTCTGGGAGGAGGAAATGCACTGCCTCCCCACTCGTCAGCAACGCTGCCTAGACCGAGCACGGCAGGCAATTTCCATGTGCCTTGACCTCTCAGCATCTGTGGCCCTGCAGTCTAAGACGAGTCTAAGACTATGGCCGACGATGGTTCGGCTGCAAACCAGAGAGCGATGTCCATAAAGTCTGCCTGCTCTTGGAACTATGAAGATCGTGGTAACGGCCGCCCGTCATGATCGAACCTTCTCACTCAACAAGACTTCAATGAGCCGTCTGAGAAGGCGCTGAGCTCCGAGATTGGCACCTCACACGGCGTACTTCGCGTAAAGCCGAAGACTGTTGCAGCTGTTTCCACCGCATCCTTTTGATCTGGGCACCCAGTGGTGGCCCAGCGACGAAATGCGTCAAGGCTTCCTGTGCTTGCGAGGCACCCCTTGCGATTCGGACTTCCGACTTTCCGGATTCTCCCGCCTGGCCCTTGGCAACTGCCAAAGCTGACAGCTTCCACAGCGGCAACCTTTGGCAGCCAGCTTTGAGCTATGGGCAATAGCCAGGACATGCAACAGAGCGCACATTTTGATTCAATAGACAGTCCCTGTGAGAACGCTGCATTGCACAGCAGGGGTACTCTTGCTGCTACAGCGTCAGCTTGGCAAGAGCCACCATGGATGTCAATAAGACTCTGCAGCTCAGGGAGCAGCAATAGTAGCAAAGTGTCACCCAGCACCTGCGGCCAGGACGGGAGCTCGCCTGTTTCGCGCGCCTCAGTGCCGGAGCCGCTTTGCATCTCATGGTCGCAGTGCTTCCATGACCGGACTGATGCCTGCAACTCTGCAGTCGCTCGAACCGCTTGCCGCACATCCTTGCCCACAGCAAATAAAGTTATGAGAAGGATTGTGTTCTGACATACAAGTCTCACAACGCACTGACTGAGAGTCCTCGACGAGAAGCTTCTCCTCGCCCTGCAGGCTTCGGAAGTCGTGCATAAGCATCCAGAGAGGTGCTCGCAGATGCTCCTGGCCGGCTGTACATCCAAGCCGACTTCTACAAACGAATGGTGCCGGGGTTCGTAATGGTCCTTGATCAGCTGTATCTGCTTAAGGACTGGCTCTTGAGAGCTCATGTGAAGCTCCAAGTTCGAACCTCGGTGCTAGCAGGCAATAGTATAAGACCTCTCGAAGTTTCAAGACAAAGACTTGGTGACCAGGTGAGAGACACTGTGACGGCAGCTCAGACAAAGCCTGAGTTATTGCCTCGGCAAGGCATGGCAAGCTTCTCTCACCATCTCCAGTCTCATGTGACCTAAGTTCCACACTTTTGTCTGTGCTTCGAACGCCTTTTGCTTGGCAGAGTCCTGGAGGTGCCAAGAATGAGCCAGCATTGCAGCTTCCAACTTTGAGAGGGTAAGCATCCTCGAACTGCATGTGCGTCAGCGGGTGAAAATTTCCACACAGGAATCTGAGATGGCTGGGCCTGAACACGGAGCAACTTCGTCTCAGGCAACTGTGAGCACTGACACATTCATGCTGGTGATACCGCATCTCTGAAGCTGCCCCAGGACGAAGTCTGTAGTCGAGCTGAGCACTACTGTAGGAGGCTGGCAATGGCTCCAGGAAGGAGTGGAAGAATTCGGAGTCTAAGCAGAGAGGAAAGTTCTTCAGACACCTGAGTGCTTGAGGATTGGCAATCAGAAGCACGGGACACATCGCAGCCCAATGGTCCCACACAACATGCTTTAGGAACTCTGGGTGCCCTGCTCCCGAATGACATGAATCATGTTGTCGATAAATGGTTTTGCCGAGACAGCTCCATCTGAGTCGGAATCTTGAGAAACGAGTATGCCCAACCTCCAGCAGAAGTCCATCAGTGAGCGATTCTTCAGATTCCTAAGAGGGTAATTCCGAGGTGCGTGCTCGACTGCTGCAGACAAAATGGTACGGAGCGTGAGCACCTTGAGGCACGCTCGAAAAGCACTTTGTGTGGCAACAGATTCGATAACAAGTCGAGACTTCCGTCTGGTCAACCCACGCAGACAAGTTTCATCCACATCTAAGGCTGTGTGGCGTCTCTAGGATCCGGGCGATGCTGCACACTGCATGCCGAATTTGTCGCAGAGAACAATTGAATCTCGTCGCTAAGATGTAGTCCAGCACCCAGGGAAAATCCAGCAAACAAACCTGACACACTCCAAGCTTCCTAGTCTATGTATGGCATTTCGCAAGAATTGGAACCGTCCAAGCTCCAAGCCTGCACCGTCATCGCGCGAGAGCGCGGCTCACCTGCTACTCTCCACGCATGCAAATTCAAGTGCGGCAACCTCGGAGACCGCATAGTCGTAGAGGCAGCCCAACGCAAAGAATGGTCGCTGCAGAACTTGATCCACCAACACACACATAGAGAGACTGACGGAGCTGCCGACACGACTGGACAAGCTTCATCCCAAACATGCCACGCCTGCTGCCGATGCGCCCAGGTGCAGATCGACTTCTTTCAGCAAATTTCTGGCTTTGGTAAACGTTAGGCTGCTCTTTCGTGTGGCAAGCTGCTGAGTGGCTCTGGCTTTTGGTCTGAATGCCAGTTCAGACAGACACTACTAGATGGAACTGGGCCTCATAACCTCATAATCTACGGACCACTGTCGACCGGCATGTTGCTATCATGGCTAGCAGCTGCGGCTCGCTGTGAGCAAGCGACGGAGCACTTCACACGTCATGACTGTCAGGAGCAGTAAGCACTCTTTGCTGCATGGTTGAACATCTACCAAGTCAAAGTCACGAAGATTCACGAAGCACGCCTTTTCGAAGCTGAGATCAGCTACCCTGGAAAGGCACAGCGCGCGCCTTCGGCTAGATCTTCGAATCTTCAGACTCTTGTTCCAGCCACGCCTTCGCACAAAATCCGCCGTGCGAAAGTGCGCGTATTTCATGTTCAACTTCGCAGAGCACCTCAGAAGACTGAGGATCCACAAGCTTCAAGATTCGAAACTCATGATGTCGAACAGCATCTTCCTCGGAGTCATATGTTAGGTTCGGAAACCGAGGGTTGTTCCACACGAGCCCAAGAGCTTTCGCTGCTCTGTAGGCGGTCACGAAGCAATTTACATATATGGCAATGTGGTAGCCGTCATAAGGCACTTCTCCAGCGACTTCTTGGTACACCAGCCATTGTCCTGCTCCTATAGGCACCCAGCACTCCTCTCCTTCCGACCCTTTGCGGAATTCAGACTCGGTGGCGAAGACATGCCGATAAAACCTCGCTAGGCCCGAGCTGCTGCCTGCTGGACACTGAAGACGGATGTAAGGCATACCCATACATTGGGAAGCCTTCTCACTGGGAAGGCCGAGCTTCTGCTTCCTGGCAGCCTCACAATCCAACCAGCCACGAGGAGTCAGCCAGCTGTCCGCACGAATGCCATGGGCATATATTTTCACCCCTGTCGGACTTGTGCACTGCAGTGCAACGGGTCCAACGCCGGGAAGATTACTCATGTGGTCTTTAAGTGGGACCACTGAAAAGTTCACGCCAGCCCCTCTCAGCATGGCTCGCAAGCCCATAATGTCCGCATAAGCAAGGCCTACGACGCCCGGTGGCTTCTGGGAATCCATTGGAGGCGGCTCTCCAATCGGCATATGTATCTGCTGCAGGCCAGCGTTGGCCCAAACGAGCCCCTGCAGGGAACCTCCGGCTGACTGCACGTTGTCGCAAACACCCTGTGCTCGAGAATCGGGAACGAGGCCCATAGCTTTGAACCAGAAACAGTCGTTTTCCGAATTCCATTCCGGTACATTCACATTCAGGTGCTCCAAAGAAACCAAAGTTGTTTTCCTACCCGACTCGCTCGCCAGCTTTAAATCGATATCTGGAAGAGGATATTTTCCTCGACTCACGCAGAAGCTGGAAGCAATGTCAACAAATCTGCTGCTGCCAGCCCCCATGGCTCAAACCGCACTACGGACCTTTGATCCAAACACTGCGCTTGTCTAACAGGTTTGTCCTGTTGTTGGAGTTTTTTACCCAGGCAGACTGTGCTTACTCTCTCCCGACCCCGTCTCGAAATTCATCATCCCGGATCGGACACTGGCGTAAACGCTTCAAGTGACACGAAGCAGCGGAAACCTATCTAGGTACTCCAAGAGCAGGAAGCGATCACCTGGAACTTCTGAGATTGCACATTTTCGCCGTCAATGAGCTCTAAGCAGCAGGACGGCAGCTATGTACAGATAAGTGAACACAAGTCTGGTCGATTCAATGATCAATGACATGTGACATGGTGTAGGACGCACAGACGGGAAGCGACCAAACCTCTGGTCCAAAATCGGGGGTTCTCCCTTCCTGAAGACCATTTGCATGCCGTGAAAACATCATGTCATGCAAACGACAGGTCACACATCAGCAAAATTCCTACAGGCCTGTGGAACCGCGAGTCTGCACAAATCGATGCACGAATAAGAGTCTTCAGACCGAAAACGCTGAAACACCAGACTCCGGTCTAACAAGCCGATTCGGCCATCCCTGCCAGACTGAAGACCGCAACTGAGCAGATGAGCAAGTGCGTTTAATCAAAGTTGTGTTTCAAATGGGCTTTGTGTGTGTGTGTGTTGCCATAAGTCTTGGTTGGAGCATTGAGCACCCTTAGCGCCAGGTTCGTGCACGATGACGGGATGTCACGAAGGTCCCACACAGTGCAACGCTTTGGCGGCTTCTGAGTCGACACATCCCATTGGCGAGCTTGCGTAGCGGCATGTGAGATCTTGTGCGCTCTCACATTTCTGGTGCCCAGATTGAAACCGTCATCGTGCCTGACAGAGTCTTTTGGCTCGTATCCTGTCCGTACAGTGTACCCATGTCGGTGGTCGATGGCCGATGAACCGAGTCGATCAGCTCTTGGACCGATCGCTCGTCCTTGCAATCGTAATGGGTTCAATTGTGTCCGAAGCCTCAGGTCAGCGCTTCACCGGGAAGGCCGACACATTTGCGATGTTCTGTCAAAGTTGTTGATTGGCCTATCCTGAACTTCATTTGCTGTCTCCATGTGTCCTTTTTGTAGAAGGCAGTTGAGGGACAAGGGCCAGGAGTTTAATTGCGGGATGCTGGCAGGGCGGCTTGCCATGCAGAGGTTTACAGGCTTTGCCCATTCTCGCGGACTCGGGAGACATCTGCAGGAATTGTATGCGAGACATTACAACATGCTGCGTTCGCTGCACGCGTCCGCAAGAGATCAAACCTCAACACGACTGGCTGAAAACCCCAGCAGCTTCATGCGTGCCAGGGCTGTATGAGCATAGTGTCCCACCTGTCGCAGTGTTCTTTGACGCGAACTGGCAGGCAATGTACAAGCTACCGAGCGGCGCTCGGCTCTGACACGGGACCGTCTGAAGACTTGAAGCTGCCGGAATACTATACTCCTTGACGCAGTGCCGAAATCTGCATAACAGGACGAGTCAACCAGACGCGTCCACGTTCCCAACTCTGACGCTGGAGGAATCTAGCGGTGTCGACATGCATGCAATTCCTTTGTCAGAGGGGCCATCTGGGCACTCGGGCTCCTGATGCTCGGGCAGCAGGCAGAGTCGAGAAAAAACTGCGGAGGAAAATTGCATGGCTTTGGGGGTCCAGTCCTCCATCTCATCCTCGTCCAATACAGACACAGGGGATCCTTGAGGTATCGCAGCATCCTTAGAACACCCAGACAAAGACAGCAGCCCCCCGGTATGGAAACCAACACACTGCAGCAAATGCAGGTGTGGCGATCTGCAACTGAAAGGTTTTTATGCAGCTGAAAAGACCAGCTGTACTCTGTGTTTGAAGCCTTTCTGCCTGAAAACCTTGCTGGCTGCCGTTTCCTTGTCCATCCCGACCTGGCCACAATGTCGGACCTGCGACATTCCGGGCCGTTCATCGGTTTCGGCAAGGTCGGTCAGAATCGTCTTCTGACCACACAGCTCGGCATCGGAAAGGCTGCTGGCGACCATGCTGAGCTGAGCTGCAGAAAGCACGTGCTGCCTTTAAATTCTCGCGAGTCTGACACCCTCCAAGATCTCAGAATCCCTACCATTTCCGCGTCGTCGCTTACTGCACCTGACCCGAAGAGTCGATGCAGCTCCCTTTGCCATGCCACAGCCTCCATGGATTCCTAAGCACCTGCAGTCACCTGCACATGTCATGCATTCCAAGTCTCTTCCTGTCCAGGGCTACCCAATTCAGGATCTGGCACCCGCTCCAACGAGCTGATAGCAGCAGCCATGGCCGGACCGTTGTCAAAGGAAACAAAGACAAGAGAAGCATCGACGCCTCCCAGAATCGTACCCCTAGCGCCGGCAGGCACGATTATGGCATGGGGGCTCATCAAATGGTGAAGTGCTCGGACTGTCGTTCCGGCTGGCAGCCCGGGCAACGTTTGACACCACGGCATTATTTCCAGGGGTAGCACATTACAGCAGTTTGGTGCTCCAGTCTCCGATGTTTCGAAGACAACTGTCAGCCTTGTGTCGCTGAACTCGGCCAGAACAGTTCCACGGCAGCCAGCATGCACAACCACTCTGCTGCCCACGACAAGTGACATAGATGCTTGGACTTTCTGGGCAATGCTGAAGCCGCCCACAAGGGGCCGCTTCGCAGCAACTTCACGAATGTTGACACTGACGGGGTACTCTGGCACGCTCTGGTGGACTTCTCCTGGAGTGGCCGCAGGCCTTGATAAAGACTCGAAAAGAACGGTGATTCGATCTTCTCCCAGGGATCCAATGACGTGCCCCACAGATCCCAGGGGCACTTTCATGTCTGAATTAAGCAACAGCTCATAGAGCGCTACAACATGTTGCCGAAGGCGGAAACCACCTGGTAGCGGCAGCATCAGTGCCTCTGGGACTACCTCAGAGCCAAGCGAAAACTGCTGATTGCTTTCTGCAACAACCCTAGCAGCTCGTCGACTTCAAAGGCGACCGTAGTACTACAGGCGTGGAACACTCGCTACAGCTTGACTTTGTGGCGCTGCGCTGCTGGCGACCGTTACACCCGGAAGATTCGCGCTGACGCTGGCCGCTAGCCGTTTCATCCGGCCGCATAACAAACTCATCCAAGTGACGTTCACACAAAGGTCGGATCCATCCTCGCGTTCGTCGAATTTGACGGTCAGGTGGACTGCATCTTCGCAGATTCCCACGACAATTCCGGGCGAGCCCTGTCGGACAATAACGTTGTTGCCATACCTCGGAGAGTCAACAGAAGCTCTAGGAACTCTAGGCTGCTCGGACCTGCTCGGACCACACACCCTGAGATCGGCTGGCTGCAGTATGTCGCGACTTGCAGCAATTTCACTCCAGGCCTGACAGGAGGACTCTCACGGTGCCCAATATCTTTGTCCTATTTGAGCTTAAGCCTCGATGTGTCAGAGCATCAAGCCTGTTATGGGAAGACCCTGATCCCAAGACACGCGCCTGAAAGCCACCCAGCTGCTCAGGTTCCTGCTCATCCTCAGCGGCTTCCTGAAGACAGGCACATCCGTTGACGTCTTCCCCGCATGCCCTTTTTGAAGCGAGCACATTCCGGCAAGAGGTCCTTTAGTCTCGCGGCCAAGCGTTTGGGAAGGAGAGTCTCCATAGCAACGCGCAGTGCGATGGAATGCTTTGGTAAGCGGTATGGAACCTGCCGACAATGCACTGTGAAGGTGCATTCGAGGTCTGTGACTCAAGGGACCACCTTCTGCATGCAACCACCAGGGCATCGAGGGATGCCACCAGACTGGGCATTGGTCTTGATCCAAAGACGCACGCATTCCTCACAGCTCACCAGACCGAAATGAATAAAAGAAATGTTGGACACCTGAAGGCTGAAGGCAGTCCTTGCAAAAGGAACGACCGCAACAAACCAGCCTCGGATGGATAAGCAGCGCATGCCAAGCTGTTGACAGCTTATGGACTCTGGCTGTGGTGACACGCGGCGTTGTTGGGACAATCATCAGATCTTCGCAGATACCGCAACTGAAGAGTTCAGCTGCTTCTTCTTCGTCGTCGTCTGATGGCATCGCCTTTCTCAAGAACACAAGGGTCAAACCGCTGTCCCTTGGAAGGTTGCATGTCTGCCCGGCTGTATGGCTTCTGAGTGCCTCTGGGGATGACTCTGGTGGACGCGAAGGTTGCTGAAGACGCAAAAGCCGAAACAGCTGCACGAGACCCGCCTGCATCACGAATTGCAAGCAAACAATCACGGAAGATGGCATCAAGACCAGCATCTTTGTGTCTGTGCACATGTCGTGTCGGACGACAGCGGCAAGCGAAAATTTCGAGCAAGCACCGCAGACGGCACGGTATTAAATATTTGGCCATGCTGAGAAGTTCGGGCCTCTGGACATGACACACTCATCCCTCATCATCTTGCAGGACTCGCTGCCTACTACTGAAAAAAAGCTCTTCTTGGCCCTCGTCTCAGCATCAGCAACACAGCGCTCAGATCTGATCCGCTCGAAACTTCGGCTGGCATGTAAGCATCTCACCTGCACATGGAATCTCGGCAAAGCAGGAGCACGAGCCTTCAGTGGAGTCCCATACCCTTCCTGTCGTCGGGCGGCCGTCCAAACTGCAACGGATTCGGTTGCCCGAACCATCACAGGCTTACCCGGCGAATCTGAGGCAACTCTGCTCGAGGCCTTTCCGGCCGCTGTGGAATCTGAAACGGATCACTGGGTCTCAACGTCTTGAACGCGCTGCTCTCAAGTTCCAGGCCCTCCGGGTCTTGAGTCTGCTTCGAGGGTCTAAGAGTCTAAGCGCTTGAGAAAAGCAGGCTCACAGCAGCACAGCACAAGCGTCGCCTTTCGTCCAGCAATGTCGCCAGCGAGGTTCACAAAGCTCACATGACCACACCTCCCTTAGAGCAGCTGGGGGTTTCTTCGCACACAAGTTGTTTAAGCGCATAATAAGCACTCAGCAGCAGCTCCGGCCTCCCAAGCGACAGAAGGCGCCTAGAACGTTGCCTCTCACGGCCTGGCGGCAGCGTTGCGGCAGGGCATCAGACATTCGCCGCGCCCACACAGATGGCCTTACATTACACCACACGTGCCACCACCGTTCTTGTTTGCGGGCTTGTTCAAGTCCACCTGGAAGCAAGCTGCAAGCTACGGATGACCTGGCATCCAAGATCTCCAAGCCTTTCCCTCAGTCAGCTCCATCTCAGGCTCTCCCTGGCGCAGAGTTCAGCGAAACTCAGATCTTCTCAGCGACCTGTCTGAGTTTGGTGTGCAGTCTCCGAGCTTTGGCCGCACTTGCTGGAGGTGCTGCATGGTCGCATTGGGCTATTGCTGGAAATGGTTCGGAATGATTTTGCAAACAAGCTTTAGGGTCTTTCGATGCTTTTGGAAGTCCGATCCTGCTGAGTCGTCGGGAGAATTCGAGTCCGCTTCCGAGGCGAATCGTCGCTCTTCGGGTTGTGGGTGCTGGTCGCTCACGAGCAAACTGCAGAGACGGGACTGGCAGAAGCGGGTCGAAACGTTTCTGCGAGCTCACCGAGAAGTACTCGGTGAGCCCTCACGATCCGGAAATCAGTGCACATCGATGGGAGCCCTCTTTCATGGCCACAAAGCACGAGTATAAGCCTTAAGAGTTCAGCTAAGTTAGCACATGTTCAATCTAGCTATCGGCTCCGGACAAAGATTCCGTGTCAAAATCCTAGGCAGCGGGCCTCGACATAGATCAGGGAGAGCCCGTTGGCTCAGTGTCGCTCGCCATTGGGGTTGTCTGGCTTGAACGCATCAAAGAAGACGTGGCCTCCAAGCCCAATGCAGAGCGGCTTCCAGGCTGAAACACAGGTGCGAGATGTCTGAGCCCTTGGCCCAAATGCGATCCGCAGCGATTACAAACAATTTCCAGGCCACCAAACTCGGACACGGTGCCCACATGGCAGCCGTTAGCCTCCTGTCAGTGCGCACAGCATCGCACAGCTAAAGGAGTCCAGGGCTGGAGGCTCAGTGACCCAGCCTCTGAGTAGTAGCACGTCTTGAAGACCGGCCATCCACAGTTGCTTCGGAATTTCGATTCTGCTGAGTAGAGCCTCAGGGACCACCCGGCTTCTGGACGCGAATCGATCCCGCATCCGGAATGCTGCCGAGGCTCGGAAGACCGCAGCCTCCACAGGCAAAGTGGCCCTGCGCGGGCGCACAGCTCCTACTTTTCGCTTCACGATTTCGTCTCAGTGGCCTTGGCGGGCATGAACCGGTCGTACTGGTGGGACCCAGGTGGCTCCGTGCCTTGCTGCCGCAGCACCTCCGGCCACGCAGCACATGCAGCACACGCAGCACACGCAGCCCAGCAATAAAACGGAAGCACCCTGTACCGTTGCGGATCCAGCTGTGCACGCCACTCTGCCTCCGCAGGGTTTGATAGGGGCCTTGCCATGCACCATGGTGCGGTGCGGCACGACATGCCAAGCCTCAGAGCGTTTAATCTGGAAGGACTTCCCACTCAACACCTGCAGACTCCAGGTCGTCTGTCACGGTCACACTCGAACTCGACTGGTTGTGCAATCACAGCACGCTCGCCTGCTGCAAGCTGCCCTGCTCTTCGATCGCAAGCAGATCATCACAGCCACCGAGGCAGGCTCCACCGACAAAAATCTCGGATCAAGGCGACTCCGTGCGAAGGCAGAAAGGGTAAAGGGCGACCGCAATCAACACCAAGTGAAGGGACGAGGAGCGCGAGGAACTGTACGTGCCCCGGTCATCTCTGCGAACGTGTCCTGGAGGATTTTGAAAAAGTGACTACATGGGATTCCCCATCGCGCCAGGTCCAGCCTGCATTGCCGCAGCCTCCTGCAACCCAGATCAGACAATCAGATACTCGCAGCAATCGCCAACTATACTGCTTCCTGCGGTGGAAGCTCATCCAACTCCACCACGATGAATTTGCTTCCGCTTTTCTTCAGCACATCCTTTGCCTTGCCACGTTCTGATCGTGCTTTCATCCTTGAGGTGCAAAGACTTCTGAGATGGGAGCTCTGCTGCAGAAAGGGCAGGTCGTCTTCGAGAACATGATAACTTTGTGCTCCTACATCGCACGGAAACAGTCTGGAGTGACTTCAAATGATCTCTCAGGAACCAATCTTCAAACACTCTCCTGAACCAGATTCTTGACCCTCTGCTCTGGCGTCGTCTCGGTCGAGACGGAAGCAGCCCGGCGAGTGCTGGTCCCAGCCATTGCGGAACCTGCAGTTTCAATTGCTGGCTGGAACTGGCCAATATCGTCTGCAGCAAACCTGGTGACTCCTGCTAGGGCATGCGATTAGCTACTCCATTCCGATGACGAGCACGTCATGCATGGATCTACACGCATGTATGAAACTGTGCTCTTATCTGCACCACGACCAACTGGGCTGAGTTGACATTGATATCGAATGCAGTTGGTCGCACGAGGGATATGTGCTTCGCGCATGGAATGGGTGGGTGGGGAGCGGGGCAACGAACTGAGGCCGTGGGCCGGGCCGGGATCAGGACCCAGTGCCTCCTGCCTAACGACCTTCGGGATATTGCATGTCGCGGCTCGTAGCACCGCCCCTCCTAGCGCCAGCTCCGAAGTATCACTGCCAGCCAGGCCCCGCGGAAGGGAACGTCCGTTAGGCATCTTAGTCTAAGAGCTCAGTCCCTCCGAATCGATAAGCTTCGCCGATTTCCGTTGGAGTTTCACTTGGAGTTCTTCTTGTTGGTATTCATTGTGGACTCCTTTCCGCCATGTTCGGAGACTCCCCCGCATGCTACAATCTTTCAGCTTCTAGCACCACAAAACCTTTCTCGAAAATATTTCGAGCTCGATTGACTGCATTTGGCATAACTTCTTGAAGTGTCTGACTGCTTTCCACGCCAAAAATATTTCATGAGCTCCGATGCCCCAGCAAAGGACGTTATGCAAGTCAGGAGGGCTTGGCCATTCATCATCCGACTGCTGGACAGGAAGCACATTGAATGATGCTGCAAAACCCTGGACGTGTTTCAGAGTCCATAATGCTGAGTATGTCACCAGCAAAGCCCAGGAATGGGGCCACCCTCTTCATGAAGCCCTGACAGGTTGGGGCAAAGAGTTGGGACAGGGAAACGATTGGATTGCGCCTGGCGTGGCGCCGGCTGGGCCGGCTGCACCGGCTTGGCTGTGGCCAGGGCATTGGGTCGACCCGCCTCAGCTGAGGGTGCTGCGCGTGTCGCGAAGCGAGTGCAGCAGTGGGGCCCGTGCCTGTGTTGCAGCCTTGGTAGCTATTGGACCAGATCGTCCAGGGATCATGAAGCCCGCCTGAACATGCGAGTCTGCGAGACCTTTGCCTTTTGCCAACACGAGGCGTCTCTCTGTCGCAAGGGGCTTCGCATTGCTTTGACATGGAGAAAATGTCCGAGAAAGTTTTGCTTCCCTGCCCAAGCCACCTTCAAGCTTTGCTTGCGATCTTGCAGTCTTCCTATTCCCCAAAAAACATGCTAACACGTAAGGGGTTCTTATGAGAGGAGTAATGAGACTTGATGGAGGTGGTGAATATGTCAGTACTTGGGAGAAAGCATTTTGGTGGTCTCCTGGTGCGCTCCTGGAATCCTGGTGGTCTCCTGCTGGTCTCCTGGGATCTTGTGGGGTCTCCTGGTGGTCTCCTAATTGCAAAGGTCGTCGTGGTCCTCCTGGTTGTTGTCATCATGGTCGTCATGGACGTCCTATGCTCTTCCACTGTTTGGGGAATCTACACTGCATAGTTTATGCTGCTTCTTATTCCTGTTCTTCCTCTTCGCAGGTGTTCTTCTTCCAATATTCCGTCCACATCACAACATGTTCTTACCGTGACCCCAAGTCCCAAACTTTAAATGCCAGATGACTTGCTGGTCGAAAGAATACTGTCGTGTTCACACGTCCAGGCGAGTCTTAGTTTGGTACTGGTGTGGGTCCGCTAGTCCGGGTTGTGCGGCTTGTTGTTTCTCCGATTTGCCAAGAACACCAAATCGAAACTTTACACATCGAACATCATCGTAAACATCGAATGCCTGAGCGTACTCCCCTCCGGAAATCCAACACAGTCACACACCAATCCTGTCAGAACGACACTTCAGGCCACGAGTTGCTCTGTGTGTGCGTGTCTGCTTCTAGTGAAGCTGAAGGAGTACATTTGCTTCGATGAAGCATGGACTCGCCACTGTACTCCAGCAGAACTGTAAATCGGAAAGGCAGGACATAATGAAGAAATACTCACACTGTGCCAGTAAATATTCGCACATGCAAGCACATTACCATGGCACAGATGCCGAGCCTTGTTCCCGGCAAACAAACAAGCTACCGCAAGAGCCCCCTTTACGGGCCACTTGGCGGCCCTTTTCGGGGGCATCCGCTTCCGAAAAGCTTATGGCAGCCAAACGGCTAGGGACACAGAAAGCACACTATTGCCCTGTCTCCTGCACAAGGTCAGCCCGACACTACGTTTCAGACTACAGCTGTTTCCGCGGGTCGCAGGAGTCGATGTCAGCTTCTCAGCCTGAGTATCTGAGCATTTCAGCAGGCTTTGTGTGCCTTCAGAGCTCAGGTCGGAACCTTATCCGAACAAGAGAGCTTGAACATTGTAGGGACTTCCAGCGAGCTGCGCTGACAACTGCTGCACCTTGCATAGACTCAGTGCAAGCTGAAGGCACGCTTACCTGCACAAAAAAAAAGCACGGGTGCCTGCCTTGATGGTTCTTGAACCTGCATGAGAGCAAACCGTCAGCCTGCAGCACGGCCGCAACATGCCAGGCCCACGCTACTACAAACAAGCAACTGTCTTGAGAAATTCCCCAAAAATCTCACTTCGTGAACACACATTTCCCTGTTGTAAGCACAGCGCAGTTGCTGAAACAGGTTCTGCTCGTCGGCCGTGAACTCACCTAGCAACGCTTCCAAAGTGTGGAGGGGCAACGTGGGTACGTCTTTCTGATGCCGTGTAGTCAGTGTAGTCAAACTTCTCTTGGAAGACATGGCACCACTGTGCGTTTTTGCAGTTTTGCGGAACTTTTGAGGACGAGGGGTGTACTGGGGGCGGCCTGATGGCGGGTACTGCTGTGTTGACGACGAGGACCAAGACAACCAAGACACCGCCACGATGACTTCGATCACCACGACGACCACGATCACCACGACCACCAGGACGGGACGACCAGGACGGCCACGACCAGGACGGCCACGACCAGGACGGCCACGACCACAACGACCAAGACATTCAAGGACCACCAGGACTCCCACGAGAAGCAAGACGACCCGTCCACCACACCGCGACGACCACCACGACCGCAACCACCACGAGTACCAAGACGACCACGCCAGGACCATCAGGACCACCACCACCACCACCACCACCGCCACCGTTACCACTTATAATAGTACAGTAGTGAACACGGACGACCCTAAGAAGCCCCCAGGAGTTGAAGCGCTTCGAGCATTGTGAGGCGACCACCCTACAATCGTTCGCCCCATGCACTACGCGCGCAAACGCAAGTGGCCCAACGGGTGGCGCTGCCAGGACTGTAGACACTTCGAGTGCTTCGATGGTAAAAACGAAGCCAAGTAATTATGCGAGATCGTAATGAGTCGCACGTCCCCCACAAGCGGCGAAGCACGCGATCGTCCGCTCCTCAGTGACACTCGGAGGGCAACCCCTTTGTGTTGCCGCAATGCTCGTAGAATTCACACTCGCAGTTCAACTAATGACCGTCTTCGGCCGCTTGTTTGCCAGGCACAGTTGTTAGTGATAACAGCCTACAATATTCCGATGAGCAGAATTAACATATCAAGCACAGCTTCCAAACTGACCAAAACCTGAGGTGTCAACTTGACTGTGTAGCTCCATCTGGAGATCGCCGCTTCTTCTCTAGCAACTGGACCACGCCCATCAGTTCTTGGCCACCTGACCGTGTCATCCGCACGATTGCTTCGTGATGTCGAGACATGAACAAGAATCGGTCTTCCCTTTAAGCGATGATTTGGAAACTGGTTGCAACACCTGTGGAAAAGAAGATGCAGACTCTTTCGCTCACAACTGAAGCGCGACAGCTGCTTCTGCAATACAGATTTGCGCTTGAAAAACAACTCAAGGAGTTGTCCGGAACCAACCCGTTTGGTTGGTCTTGCGCTCACCCAACGCCTCTGTCTACGGCTTCCTTGTGTAGGATGCTGTAGCATGAGGCCCGCCTATGAAGCGAGTAGGGTCGTGTGCACAAAGCACGAATCGGCTTGATTGAAACTTAAGACTGATCAGATGAAGTTGACATGCACAACGCAATCATCAAAACTTGACGGCTACCGATCGAACGAACCTTTCACACATAAGGAGCTTCAACGAACAACGGGCCGCCAAATCCCAAACAGCAAAGCCGATGGGCTGCAGTGGCTGCAGTCTCTTAATACGATAACGAACGAGAGACAGCGAAAGACCGCGAAAGAACAGATGGCAGCAAACCAACAAAGTGACAAACATCAAGGCCTCACTTCCAATTGGCCCGAAGTGGCTTTAACCCTCCAGGCGACCTGGGACCTCTTACTTCATACAACTGATAGACTGACGTGATTTGCCAAACAAACCTTCAACGACCAAAAGGTTCAGAGGCCCCAAGCCGCAAATCCTGATCCCGATAGATGAAGACCGCCTTCAACACGACGTCAGGAAAGGACCGATGAGTAGCAAGCCCTGCTTGGAGGTTCATGGGNNCCCCCAACCCCCCCCCCCCCCGAGAACATACCTCAACCTCAAGCCATGAGTCGCCAAGCTTTGGGCCCGAAGCCGCTACTTCTGAACCCGATAGATGAAGACCGCCTTAAAGCAAGCCTTATAACTTACAACCCTATAACTCTTAAAGAATGGGCAGCCAAACGTAAATTTGACGAAGCCGTTGTCGGCCCCACAAAGTGATAGGTTGCGGAACAGCAGCCCGAAGAAAAATGATGCGCAGCAGCAGCGGCAAAGGGCAGAATGTTGTCGAAAAAGATATCCCAATGCGGAAACCCGAACAGCCGAAAAGAAGTGACGGGCAGCAGCAACAAACCCCACACTCTCAAAACAAATCTTGAATCAAGCAACTATTGACGGCTAGCGAAGCTACGCGCCAGACACAGCAGGCAATGGGCAGAAGCCCCAAACTCCAAAACGTGCCATTTTTTCGCAAAAGCAAGGTCCAGCGCAAGGTTCAGTCAGCACCGACCCTCCGTATCCAAGGGGCTCTAGTCGTGGCAACGGCTGATACTCGGCGATACAAGGTGCAGTCCATCCATAGACATTGAAAGGAATGCACTTCGGTAATGTGCGAGGCACTGGGAATGGAGTAGAAGGATGTGAGAGTATATGAGATGCTTCTGCCAAGCATGATTCAGCCCAAGGGGGCTTGCGGACGTCCCATTTCGTTTGGTCCGCGAGTGTGTCTGCATGCCGCGGAGGCATAAAAGTGGTTTGTGTTTCCAATGCCTATCGGTATAGAGTATAGTGAAGCTGGTGAAACGACTTTGTGTGAACGGAGAGCAGGGCCCTTTTAGCACTGAGCTGAGATGGGTTGAATACCTTTTGGCAAAACAGAGATTTGATTCTAAAGATGATGGGCGAAAGCCTGTCCAAGCGGGTCCCAGACATCTACCCGCTGGGTTTCCGATGGCAACGTGATATCGGTCCGGACAAGAACCATCAGCGTAAATATCGGTTGCATTCGCTATGGGATCAAAAAGCAGCGTGTCGGGAGTGACCCCTGTTATTTCGGCGAACCTCTCGAAGGTTATATTGAAGTTGACCTATTCTTGTCTTGCAAACGGAGGCGTATTGTTGGGCAGTGTTTTCGGTGGAGGTTTCCCGAATTGGACTGTGAAAAATACATGTGTGTCGATGAAACCAAGCCTTGTAATGTCCAGGGACGTCATCTGCGTGAGAGTATGCTCCATGCATGCAGAATCATCATTCGTCGGCTGGGTTGGTGAAGCCTCCGCGGAGGACGGGTAGGTAAATATTTTGGCGCCAGCTCTGGTGTGAAATGTGGATGCGATAAGGCAACCAAACGTAAATCTGAAGGCGTCGTCCACAAAGTGATGGGTTGCAAGATAGAAACCCGAAAAAAAACGATGTGCAGCAATAGCCGTACACTCTGGAACCCTTCCTTCAACCGCAAACCTCAGAAACTTCAGCAGCTGGCTTTACCACAGAAACGAGAGCACGTCGCAAAACGTACAAGCAAAGGAAGATTCCAACCTGGAAACCAGAACCCCCAAAAAGGCGTGATGGGCAGCAGCAAGAATTAAACCCTAGACTCTAAACG